CACTGCTAACACCTGGGGGGGAGCTCCATCTATTGGTGGGGAGCAACACCTGCTGGAAAACGGGTCCAGCGTCCCTTACATAGACAGAATTCGAACCATATCTGAAAAACGGAGTTGTGGAATATTCCTGCCAGCATTGATTACCTTGGGGTCCAGGGGATTGACTGAGCAGGATGTTGGGGGGGCTGAGCCTCTTCACCCTGAAGCGGGCGCCAGATACCTGCTGCTACCCCCTAGTTCCTCCCGCCCCCTGTCTTTGAGATGTGCCGTCTATTGATGCTGCTGGCCCACTCATACCACTCCATCCCATTGTATGTCTACCCCTGCCAAAGAACCCCAGTCCCTTTTTTGCTGGAAACCGGGTCCAGCGTCCCTTAAATTTATCTTTTTTTACCGAACAGATAGCTGAGAAAGTGCCTGCCAGTCGGCTCTCAAACCGGTTCAGCAAAAGACTGCCTCTTCAGCCTGCACCAGACCGCCAGATCTTGCATGTTTCCTTTAGCAGCCGCTTTCTGTTCATCGTGATGCCCGTCCTCCGGATATGCCACCCGCTCAGTCTGCTCCGTACCATTGCATACCACCATCGCCAGCTGGTGGGGTGGGAAAGGGTCAGGGAATTCGGTGGCCGGTCGCAGTGGGATCTCTTGCCCTACCGTAGTCCAATCCCTGAAGCAGATGCAGTAGTCCCTTCTGAATTCCTCCTGGTTACCTTCTGGGGAGGGCTGACCTTCCCACTTGACAGATGTGATCCAGCCCCCATTCTCGCTGCCCAGCCAATCCCCAGAGAATTGATGGATTGCTTGTATGATGTCCTTTACAGAGTGGTATAGGTCAAGTTGGGCTTTCGTTTTTTGCCAGTGTATCGTGATTTCTTGTTGGATATATTGCCTTATCATATCTGTTGACTCTTCCCCGGTTATGCGGACCCCGTCCATAACCAGTATGCATCGTTTTTTCCAAAGGGTCCACATAACCGCTCTTCTTCCCAACTTGAACATGTTGTTTTCGAAGCTATTATCAGTGGGGGAGGACCATGCCTCGCATAGAATGGCTCGCCAATGCCATGGCCAGTGAGAACCACTGCCCAATCGAGACCAGATCCTGTCCCACCATCGCCATGTGAGCATAGCCCCTGGGCATTGCATAAATATGTGCTCTATGGTTTCCGGGATCCTGTGGGAGGGAAAGGCTGTGTGGCATGACCTGCACCATGGTAGTGCCAGCCCTTTTTGCTCCAGGTATGTGCGGTCAATCAGCCAGTCATTGGTGGGCAGGCAGCGGTGTTCTATCTGCCATTGGAGAGAGGCCATCTTCGCAGGTCTGGATGTTATGGCCGAGAACCATCGAATCGGGCGAATTGCCTCGCTTCCTATGTTCAGATGTGACCTCCAGCGGGCCTTTACTTTGTCCTTGAGGTTCACTTTGGGTCGAAGCAGCCAGTATGTGGCCTTCACTGATAGGGTGTGCAGCTTTAGGTTTGTCCCGGTTCTGGCGCTTAGGGACCCACTGCCAGTCGTCCGGATCGAAGGGTAGCTCCATCAGGGGAGTGCTTGGCTGGTATGCGAACCATACGTCTTTATCCCGCAGCACACGTATTCTGTGCAGGTCTGCTGTTTTCCACCGTCGGACCACATCAGGATGATAGCGGGTGAGTATATTGTCCTTGCCAACATGGAAGAGGTTTATTAACGTTCCGTCAGATCTTACCTCCACCACATTGCCCACACTCTCCGGGTCCTCCGGGGCAGCTACCCATCTCCCTCCATCAGGCGTGGTCCTCTGCGTAGAATGCGCACCCAGTCCAAGGGGACTGCATCGGTTAGTAGTTGAACATTCTCTTCAATTTTGTGATTGTACTTTAGTATGGCTCTCAATTGTGGCCCCGTTTTCCAATCCCCCGCTTCCTTGTCCCATATGTCTTTTATCCGAATTATTCCTTTTTTAACCCAGCCATTCCATGGGGAGTCTGAGCTACGATACACCCTGCTGTAGCGGTCCGTTATCCTCCTGTTCCCAAAGAGGGGCTGGCGCATGACCTCCTCCCACCTGGTTGGTGAGGGTTGATCAGGTAGGGGGAGTTGGCGCCATGTTTTAATGACTCGGGCCCAGAAGTCATCTCTGACCAGGTCCGCGCGTGCCGCATCTCGGGGTGAATCTCGCTCCTTGCGGGGGCGCCTCGACACCGTCCAAAAGCGATCCTCTAGCCAGGTTAAAGGATTAAGCTCTTGTGGTGCTTGAGGGGCGATCCTGGCTATCTGTTCCAACGCCTGGGCATGCCATGGGAGGTGCTCAGTGAATAACAATCTCCTAACCCATTGGACAGTTAATGCCGCTATCTGAATATCCGGGTCCAGGATTCCCAGGCCCCCTCTGTCCTTGGGTTGGATTACCGATGACCAGGCCACCCTGCTGATGACATTTGCGAGCTCGCCATCTCCCCTCCATAGCAGGGCTACTAATTGCCTTTTAAGTGAGCGGACAGCCTCCTTGCTGAGGGTCCATATTGCAGATTTGTACCATAGAGCTGCTAGAACTACACTGTTGATCGGGAGCGCTCTGCCAATAAGGGAGGTATGTCGGTCTTTCCACTTAGCTAGATTTTCTAGAGCCGGTTTTAAAATCCATTCATCATTGCATGCGGGTTTGCCCACCGCTGTCAACCTAATTCCCAACACTCTGACCGGGGCCGTTTCAGGGAGCCATTTGACTTGTGGCAGCTCCGGTGGACGCACTCCTTGATGGTGGATCCACCACCCCAAGGTCTTGCTTCCCCAGTTGACCGTCATGTCTGAGACTGCTGTAAATTGGTCAAATAATCTCTTGATTTCCTCCATGTTTGCTGCAGTAGCATCTATCATTAGAGTCAGACCATCCGCAAACATTGAGCAGATAGGGATCGCGTCTTCAGGAATGGCAGAGATCTGCAATCTCCTCAAATCTTTGTTGGCCCGGAGGTTTGCTGCCAGCGCCTCCATCACGATGATGAAGAGGAAGGGTGCCAGAGGGTCCCCTTGGTGGACCGATCTTTGCAGTGGAAAGGCCGGTGCTATCCTGGCATTGACTTGGACGGCCGTAGTGGCGTTGTGGTGTAGTATTCGGGTCCATCGCCGGAAGACCGGTCCAATGTTCATTTTTTCCATACATTTATCTAAAAATAGCCAATCAACATGGTCATACGCTTTTTCAAAATCGATGAAAACAACCGCCACATTCTGCCTGTCTTGCCTTGTTAGTTTCAGAAGTTCATTAACGAGGAGGATGTTCTCTTGAATCCTCCGTCCTGGAACGAACCCGGTCTGCGTTGGATGGATAATGTCTTCCAGGACTGGAATAAGACGGTTCGCCAGCGCTTTTGCTAACATTTTATAGACCACTGTGAGCAACGTTATCGGTCGGTAGTTTCTAATGTCCATTTTGTCCCCTTTTTTATGTATCAAGGTAAGGATCCCCTGCCCTACCAACTCCCCCATTTGTCCGGTGTCCCACACCCGGTGAAAGAAATCCATGAGGTCCGGGGCCATCTGGGTCCAGAAGGTCTCCCAGAATTCCTTGGGGAATCCATCTATGCGCGGGGTCTTCTCTTCGTCCATCTGCATCATTGCCGTCCAGATTTCGTCCTTGGACAGGGGACGATCCAGGTCTGTTTGTTGTTGGCCCGTCAGAGTCTTTTCCAGTGGTTTCAGAAAATCTTCAGTTTCTTTCTCCCTGACGTTCCTCTCCCTCGGAGCACATCTTGAAGTGAACAGATCCTTGAAGAAGGACCTGACTATTTGTAAACAATAGGGGGTGGAGGTGGCAATATTTTGGTGTCCGGTCCGCGGGTCATATAGTGCTTCTATGGTTGTTCTGTGAGAACGTGTTCTAGCCATACCGAAAATTTTTTTATCCATCGTCCCTTCCGTTCATGATTTTGTCAGTCGTCCTCTTATCCGTGCTCCTTCCCATCGTTGTGTGGCATAGGTCTGGAGTTGCTGTTGTAGCCTTTGAACCTCTGAGCCTTCTCCTTGCTGTGTGAGGGGTGTGTGTTGCGCATTATGCGGACTGTCTGGTTGATCCTGGAGCTCCAGTTGCTGCAGTTTTTGGTGAATTTCCATTTCCTGCTGATGATTTCTTGTGGCTTAAAGTTTGGAGTATTCTTGAGATTTTTTCCCCAGATAGAACAGTCCGTTGTTAAACCAGCCCACGTCTTGCTGGAAGAGCTGTCGTTGTGTGTGCCAGAATGCCCAACAGTCCTTAATGTAGTTCTGGAAGGTGTTCTGCTTCAAAATGGAGGTATTGAGTTTGTAAAATCCAGGTCCGTGGTTGGGTTTCTATCGGAACGACAAGATGACAGAGCACATTTTGTGGTCCAGGCCCGGGTACGGGCTGGCAGGTAAGATTGTTGCGAGGAGCAGCGCTCCTGCCATGTCTTCTGAGATCAAGATTAAGTCTATCCGAGACCTTGTTTGGTTCTCAGTGTCGGTCTTACGTAGGCATGAATAGAACCTAGTTTCTGGGTTTAGTCTTCGGAAAGAATCAAACACTTTTAAGGACAAACATAGCTCATGGACTATCCTCTCATCCTCTTCCACGTACGCCGGGGTTGGGGACGGTGTTCGCCATCTATCCATCCAACGATCCGGGGCTGCGTTGCAGTCCCCTGCTATGATGACCGGAATGCCCTCTGGGATTTTCATTTTGAGGTTCTCAAAAAAGTTCCTCCTTTCGCTAACGGCATTGGGGGCGTACACACAAAGTATGCATACGATTTCAATTTCAAGTGTAACCAGGATGGACACCCATCGAGCTTCTTCCTGATCTACCACCCAGTGCACCGGGTCCGCCTTGGACTCGGGAGGGATCCAGATGGCCACCCCGGCGCTGCCCGGTTTTGGGGCATGGGCTCTGAACGCCCTATACGATCATTTGGTGAGCACGATTGTGTTCTGGAGTGTCCATCAGATGTGTTTCCTGGACGCAAACAATATCTGGCCAGTTCCTGCCTCCCACCCCCCTCATGAGGTCCCAGATTGCGTTTTGCTTTTCGGGCTTGCATGAGGCCAAGCCGTTCACGTTTAAGGACCGTGGATCTAGATCTGCCGCTCTCCTACATTGATTCCAGATGCGGTCCTTTCCGTATATTGTTCTGACCGGGTCCATCTTGCTGGGGTTATTCATCTGTATTTTGTATTAAGCGTCATGTAGTTGTCCCTCACTGGCGGACCCACGGCAGCAAATCCCAGTCCCAGTCCGCTGTTCCCGCCGAGGGGCCGGATCTGAGGAGGGCACATAGACATTTCCGAACATCCTGTTCCGTCCAGATGTCGCTCTGCCCGACTTTAGTTGTCTGCAGGTTCAAAAGTTGGGCCCGGGTGTGCCATTTCAGTCCTGCCTCCTTGGTGGGGTCGTGTCGTATAAAGACGTCCCGCTGTGATATTTTGTTGGGGCCTGCCATGATGGAGGCTATTGCCTGTGCCCCCGGTGATATGTTTTCTGAAATGTGTTGATCTAGCTGCATCTGCAACAGCCCAAGCGCAGCGTCCGATGTATTGTTTCGTGGCTCCGCCCAGAATGATGTCCAACCCTGTAATGTGACCCCCTGTCCACCATTCCCCACTGGAGACAGTCCAACCTCCCATTTCTCATTTTTCTTTCGCACAGGGATAAGCAGTATGGCCTCCCGTGACAGAGGGTCGGAGTCACCACCCAACTCAATCACATGTATAAGCTTTCTTTTCCGTACCAGCTCTAGCGGCGCGTCCTCATCTGGATCCGGAGGGTCCGGTCCCGGCGGTGGGACGGGCTGTTGCAGGACCGGGGGATCCGGGGATATCTTGGCTCCCGAGTCCGTTCTGTTTCCCCCTGTGGCGTTTGTGGGTGACGTATTTGGTGGTTGAAACCGAGCAAAAAACAATGTGGTGAGCCTGTGCCATGCCTCAGCCCACTTCACCCCCGGTTGCAGACCATTTTCCAGTACCTTTTTGAGGGAGGCACTCGTATCTAACATGGGGAATAGTTCCAAGTACGTCCTGTCCCAGAACTCATCAGTGATGGGGCCATATTTGGCCTTCAAATTCCCCATTAACCAGTCCGCGATGGCGACCAGTTTCTGCTCGACCGGAAGATGTGGCGGTGGTGCTCCCTCCTCCTCCTTCCCCGGGTCGTTTTCTGGGACCGGGACTTGTGGTGACATGTTGACGTTGGGTGGGAGTGGGTCCACCTCCATTGGTTCTGCGTCGAAGGCCGCCTGGAAGGGGTC